ATAGATTAGCTACTGCCAGATCATCAGACCAGTAAGTAAAATCTAGGTAGAAAAAGGGAAAAAATGTTTTTCTAACTTTTAGTTTGAGAAATATTTAAAATTTGGTCCAGTTCTACTTCCTATCCATCTGGGTAAAAGTATAGACTATAAAATAAAACAAACTAATTTCAAATCCTCTTCCTTTTCTGCTCTGCTTTTCAAGTGAGGAGAGGGGAGATGAAAAGGCCAGGCAAACAGAAAAAGGGGAAATAAGAACTGCCTATCCAGTAATGAGCACTTTTCTGTTCTCATGCTTCTGCTTTTTGAAATTAGGAGCTTAGGGGCGCCTGGGTGGCGCAGTCGGTTGAGCGTCTGACTTCAGCCAGGTCACGATCTCGCGGTCCGTGAGTTCGAGCCCCGCGTCGGGCTCTGGGCTGATGGCTCGGAGCCTGGAGCCTGTTTCCGATTCTGTGTCTCCCTCTCTCTCTGCCCCTCCCCCGTTCATGCTCTGTCTCTCTCTGTCCCAAAAATAAATAAACGTTAGGAAAAAAAAATTTGAAATTAGGAGCTTAATAAAGTCTAAATCTTCTATCACTTTCCTCAAGAGAACAGCACATACGAAAATTGTTCTCAAGTTGGAGGAGATGTATTTTAATTGGGATGTAAAGGACGGAGAAGATTTAGATAAGTCAAAAAACAAGTTCACAAATAAGAAGCAATGAAAAGTCAACTGTAGGTTCTTTCAACAAGACATGATTTAGTGTAAGACATGCTCTCTAAATGTCAGTAATAGCAAACAGGCAAGAAAAAAAATGATGCTATGCATCCACAGTAAGCATGTGTGTTCAGCATTAGTGTACAATATATAATAGCTGTCATTTATTGGATGATGACAAAGTGGCATACACATGTTAAGTGATATATATAAAAACATATATTAAGTGGTTTATGTCGTATGTAATATAGGATATACACATATAATTTTATCAGTCAGGAGAATTAATCCACAGAATGGCTTAATTGCACTAAGGGTATCACTAACAAAAAACAAGAAGAAATCTGTTTAGGTGGTCAGGAAAGCTGACATAGAAATGTGGAGAGGGGCAGGGTTTTACTACAGATACACAAGAACAAATACACTGATCAAGAATCCATAGCAGTATGTATCCAAGTCAGTCAGCCAGGTGATTCACCATGTGAACAAAATTAAGAGTACCTTAGACAATGAGAAATAATTTAACTTACTAGCTTAGTACAGTTTCATCTTTAATATTTATATTCCACACCAAAAGCAAGATAAGCCATCTGTTAAACAGCCTTATATTATAAGAGATGTCAACAGTAAAAAAAGAAACTTATTTCCCACAATTTAGAGGATTTAGGTATATACTAACAAAACTCATTTGCAGTATTGGTGGTTATAGTCCTTTTAGGAGGGCCATATACAATGTTTAGTATTAGTGAAAATAAAAATTTGACTAAAACTAATTCAGTCTAGTTCTTGCCTCGTTTCAGGTCTCTTCTTCAAGTAGTCCATACACACTGCACAGGAGGAAAATACAGGCTATCAAGTTGGCCTTAAGTCTGAACCAGGAAAGCAAAGCTTATAGCAACCAAACATTTTTGCTGAGTAGAATGGATTTGCAAATTTTCTTTTTTTTTTTAATTATTATCACTATTTTTTTTTTAGAGAGAAAGCACGAGTGAGAGAGAGGGGCTAAAGGAGACAGAGAGAGAGAGAGAGAGAGAGAGAGAGAGAAACTCAAGCAGGTGCCACACTGAGCTTGGAATCCAGCAAGGGTTTGATCCCACGACCTAGGATCATTACCTGAGCCAAAATCAAGAGTTGGACACTCAACCAGTGGTGCCCCTAGAAGGGATATGTATGTATGGGTGGAGGGTGGGAAGCAACCAAGATTGTTTTAATTACTTCCATAATTCATTACAATCAGAAGGTTAAGGAAAGAATGGGATACATTTGTCACTGAATCTAGCTCAAATGTTCCATGAAATTTTTCTGGTTGTATCCTTCCTCCTAGATAAAGCAATCATTTTGGCATAGTTATCATCAACAAACAAACTGAGTAGCAATCTAAAACAACTGCCACGTGGCCAAAAGGGCTGGATTAGCCGTAGCGTGATACTAGGACCAATATCATCAGGAAGCTCCTGTTCTTTCACTATCATAACCATTTATAACTTACTTGCCATCACAGTGCTGTAATCAATTTTCTTTCCATAGACATGGACTAGGCTTTGCTTGATCGGATACAAGTGTTTTCTAATTCTTTTTTATTAGTCTTAAAAATGTACAAAATATCTTAATCAGAATATTTGATAAACGATTCAGGAAGTCAGGAGTTACGAGAAATTAATAACTAGATTTTAAACCATTGAGAACACAGGAATAGGGAATCTAAAAAAACAAAAGCAAACTAAAAAAGACATGTATGACAAATTTGATAGAGTTCCTCTTATATATCTTCTGTGGCTTAAGAGTTAGCATTACTTAAATAGCCTAAGTCTTTTGGATTATTTAGACCTCTTTCCTCCCTCATTTTCTTCCAGCTGGTGAACATTCATACAAAGATTTCCTTTTTTCAGTTTTTCTTTGGTGGCATAGAATTAATCTAATGTGTCTCTACTAAAATCTTGGCCAAAATCCTACAGCTAGTTTTTAATCTGTATTTCTCCTTGTTTTTTTTTTTTTTTTTTAATTTTTTTTTTCAACGTTTATTTATTCTCGGGACAGAGAGAGACAGAGCATGAACGGGGGAGGGGCAGAGAGAGAGGGAGACACAGAATCGGAAACAGGCTCCAGGCTCCGAGCCATCAGCCCAGAGCCATCAGCCCAGAGCCCGACGTGGGGCTCGAACTCACGGACCGCGAGATCGTGACCTGGCTAAAGTCGGACACTTAACCCACTGCGCCACCCAGGCGCCCCCCTCTCCTTGTTTTTAAGACCAGATATTACTTGTGCTTTTGAAGGATTACACAGTTCCCTGGTTAGTTAAAATTGGTATCTTAGCAATTTTCTACCAAAAATGTGAAAGTAATTATATTATAGGGCAGTCCATAGGAGTCACACAGGACAGAAACCAGTGATATATGTTCTTTCCTGACATTTCCATCAGTGGTTTCAAGAAAACATCAATAGTCATTCTTATTTAGGAGGTTGTATTATCTGTCTGTATTAGAATATTAGAGCTTCAAATGTATTAGAACATTATTCCTGGGTCCTACCATCTAAGACACTGCTTTAGAGTATACTTGGGCTTTATAGTGTGTTTTAAGTTCTACAGGTAAAAGTTGCTACATCAAGTTACCCCTTAAATAAATGTTTCTGAAGGGCTGGTCCTCACATTCATTTTAGTCCATTACAAAGTTTTCACTGGATCATAGTGAAATGAGAAACAAGAAAAGCTAAACATCCTATGTTTAATTTATAAATTGTTGTCCCTCACTTCCACTCTCCCCACTTCTTTTGATGTTCAAATCGTCTCCCTTTTGTTAAATAATGTTAACAAAACATTACTAGAATGGTAGAAATTCATAATAAGATACTGACTTGGCAAAATAAAAAGTTGGCAATGCTATACAGATATCCCACCCACTCTAACTTTTTGAAATTTTACAGATCTGTGAAATTCAAAACTCTATATACCTCTCTCTTTAAAGGATTTAAAATAAGAAACATTAGAAAGCTTCAGTAAATGGGAGGGACGGCACATTGGTGCCATCTTCTAAGGTCTGGGAAACATAACCAAATTCCAATTCTGGAATTATCTGAAAGATTCTCCACTTCTCTATCTTCTCTAATAAGTTCCATGCCTTGTTACTTACTTTCTCCCTCTGGTCCTATCCTATTCTGGTCCTATCCCTGTTTCCTATTCTATTCAGTATCAATTTATGCTTTTTTGGGTTTTTTTGTTTTGTTTTGTTTTGATTTCTAAGTATTGCTCTATATACTCTCCCTCTTACTAACTTTCCAAAGTTATGTCTTCTTTTTTTTATTTAAAAAAAATTTTTTTTTATACATTTATTTATTTTTGATAGACAGAGAAAAACAGAGCACAAGTAGGGGAGGGGCAGAGAGAGAAGGAGACACAGAATCTGAAACAGGCTCCAGGCTCCGGGCTGTCAGCACAGAGCCTGATGCGGGGCTCAAACTCACAAACTGTGAGATCATGACCTGAGCCAAAGTCGGACACTTAACTGACTGAGCCACCCAGGTGCCCCCCAAAGTTATATCTTCTAAATAAGTTCCCCAAATCTAAATTATTCTACAAGTTTCTTAAGTCCATATTTTCCCTTATTACTTGAATCTCCAAAGGCATTTTCTCTGTTTTCTCTTTTGTTTTCTTTTTTAAAAAGGTAATATGTTCATCATAGAAAATTTAAAGAATGACAAAAAAAATCACACAGAAAAGATGAAAACAAACCATAATTCTACCAATTAGATATAAGTATTATTAATATTCTGGTCATATTCAGTCAATGCTGGAATGATACCCTATATACTGTCATTAAATACCTTTAAATAGGAATTTTTAAATGTTTGTATAGTCTACCTAAGGACTGTCATAACTTATTTAAGCAACCTCTTGGCTCAACTATTTTTTTTTTAACAAGGAGAGTTTAAAAACTAGTATCTCTTACTTATTTCTTGATACCAAATCAGAGCACAATAAAATTAATAAAATCAAAGTAACAAACAAAACAGAAACCAGCCACATGTCAAAAATCAAAAGGTCATAACAGTTGCATCCTTTTAATTATATAGAATAATACCTGATTAAATATTCCATTGAAATGTTATTCAGCTTTACCCTCTTCGTTATGTTTTTTGGAACTTCATTTATAGGGAGCTTTCTATGTGTTGACTAGGCTAAGCTTCATATTAACTTCTCGAATGTTTTAAACAAATGATTACACAAAACAAAAATAAGTTAGATATGTAACAAACTAGCAATCCTAGATTCATATATTTGAATATTAAAAACATTTGAATTTTTATTTACCTTGAACAAATCTGACACAATGATTGAAGAGAAACACTGGGCATATAGGTTAAGGCAGCATTGTAACACAACAAAAGGAATGTCAATACTTCAAACCTAAAGATAAACCAAAAGAATATTTATAAATCTTTAGAATTCCAAGAAGTCAATCATAATTTAGCAGGCATTGGGGAAAAATACTATATTACAGAACAGACTTATACAATATAATTATACCAGTAACAATACAAAACTAAAAAGGAAAAAGACTTCCCAAGTAACAGTCATCTGAAAATGATCTCAAAATTTCAGTGTTCCAGATGACATCCGAATCCAAGTACAAAATAACAAATTAGGAAAGCATGTTTTTCCCTTGTATAAAATGACCCAATATTTAAAACAACAACAACAACAACAACAAAAAACCTGTTACATACAACTCATTAAAGATTACCTATAAAGGTACTGAAATAATTTTTTAAAAACCAGTGTGGTGGATTAGAATAGTGGGTTATGTCTCCACAGTGTACCTATTCTGTGCTGTCAACATCTCCCTTTGGGGGTGAGGTCCACTGTACACAACTTTCGACAAACCATGCTGGGATAGCGCACTCTCAGTCAGAGCCATGGACCCAATGCTGGAAGGCTGAAGAAGAGACATTTGAATGAAGGAAAAAAAAGCCATTCTGTTGAAAATGTGACATTAAGAATATATGCGCCACTAAGAATGATGGCCACGAATAACATCATATGTCTTAAAAATATTCCAACTGCATACTAAATTTTCTGCTCAAATATTTCACAAATAATTAAAATACAAACCACAAATAGAAATAAAATAATTTACTTTCAAAAAGTCTACCTCACCACTGGTGAATTAAAATAAAAACTTAATTAAAAAATTCTACCCCAGAAATACACAACTGCCACACACAAAAATATTAGACTAGTTTTATTGATCAGAAGAGAAAATACTTCAAAATGATTATTTTTGATAGCTTTCTTGTAATCAGATTTTAAAGCTTTATGATACTGAGTTCTCATTTCACTTTGGGTATAGTAAATACTTTGTGTGGTGTTTCACACTTTTTAAGGTACTAATAAATCAATCTTTTTTTTTTTTGCCTCAATAACCAGACCCTAATTTATAACACCTTCAAATCTTAGAACTAAAAAATTTACTTTGATAAAATATTACTTACTTCATGATATACAGATGGTTTGGATAAAGACGGAATCGTAAAACTCAATACTTTGCTATGTCCCTGTTTGTCAACTATTTCCTATAAAAGTGAAAAAAAACTTAAAATATTTATTTTTTACACATAAGTTTAAGAGCTAACTTTAAACTGTTAGTCTAAGAAAAAAAGATCTGAGAGGAAAGGAATTTTAAAGTTGACTAAAATCATAAACTAAGACAATCAATGATCAATTATTTATAAACAACAGGAGTTAACCTTCCTTTTTAAGATACAAGTAAGATATAAGTAAAGAAAGATACAAGGTACAAGAAAGATATAAGGAACACAGTTTTAAGGAAGGCTGAAATAGAGATATGTAGTGTCTTAATAATCACTGATTTTTCTCATGTAAAAAGTCACATTTTCTAAATCCATTAACATAGTTATGAAATATGCAAGAAAAGGCCCTTAAATTTCTTTTTAAGAAAGTACAAATCTTAAATATGTAGAATATCATATTGATTAATAAACAAAGAGTAATGCAAACTATATGTTAAATCAATGGTTTGAACTCTGGTGATAGTCCAGATTTTATGAAATTATTAGTGGCACATATTAGACTAGATCTTTTTTTCCCAAGCTTTTTGTGAAGGTCACTAACAGACAATTTACAGACAATAGATTTTAAGTTTAAAAAAATTCGGGGCGCCTGGGTGGATCAGTCGGTTAAGCGTCCGACTTCAGCTCAGGTCACGATCTCGCGGTCCTTGAGTTCGAGCCCCGCGTCGGGTCTGGGCTGATGACCCAGAGCCTGGAGCCTGCTTCCGATTCTGTGTCTCCCTCTCTCTCTGCCCCTCCCCTGTTCATGCTCTGTCTCTCTCTCTGTCTCAAAAATAAATAAACGTTAAAAAAAATTAAAAAAAAAATCAACACTGATATTTTGAGATACCTCTATAAAAGAACTGAAATGGTCTGATTTTCAGTCTTCAATCAACTCCAAAAAATATATTTACATAGTTATATGTATGCCTGTATAGCCTTTAACCTCAATAAAGTTATTTTTAGGAGAATGAGATAGGAGTCATTTGATGTATGAAAAACAAATACTAGCTTCACTAAAATGAAAAGTAGTTGCTATTATGTCTTCACGTTTGCTATAAAAGTTATAGATCTGCTTTTGGCAAACACTTGTTAACTACATTAAATACAAACCAAATTGTAAACCCCTAGAAGAAGAGCTTCGATACATCCACTGCTATGCACATTTCTGCTGGCTGAGACTGCAAGGTAGCACCAAATCAATTCTGGAAGAAATTGCAGTGTAAATCGAAGCAACTGCTCTTCTCCACTGCGATAGAATTCAAAGAGCTGGTGACAGACGGGTTCTAGCAACTGGAAAAAAGACCAAGTGTTAATTCAAGGGTTCCACTGCATTTGAATAGACACTGACATATGAAATATAAATGGTTTTTCCTTGTTGGTAATTACTGAAATATATAAATGTTTTCATTTTTTTGGAAGCAAAACTATTCACTGTTAAGCTATTTAGCAAACCTTTGAAAGTTTACTTCTAGTGGAAGGTCAAACAGTTCAAAATAAACGTATTTGAAAGCACTTAATAAACTTTTAAATATCCTATAACTCTAAAGTAGTATTGGTATTTAAACCATATCTTTTTAACTTCTTAAAATAGCTAGGCTAGGGCTCCTGGGTGGCTCAGTCGGTTGAGCGTCCGACTTTGGCTCAGGTCATGATCTCACAGTTCGTGGGTTCGAGCCCCGCATCAGGCTCTGTGCTGACCGCTTGCTCAGAGCCTGGAGCTGCTTCAGATTCTGTGTCTCCCTCTCTCTCTCTTTGCCCCTCCCCTGCTCACGCTCTGTCTCACTCTGTTTCTCAAAAATAAATAAATGTAAAAAAAAATTTTTTTTTTAAATAGCTAGGCTATAAGAAGTTTCTTCCTTAATATCCTTAATATCCTACTTCCTGATAAAACATGCCAATGTATACATGATTGGCTACTGGGATGGAGAAATTGAAATGGGAATGCTAGGTAGTTATCATCACATCACCCTCCTGAGCTTATAATTAGGCAGCATACGACAGCTATGTGTGTGGAGTAGCTGAATAATTACTGCACCCCTAAATCTAGATCCCTATTGTAACCATGGTTAATTGCCCCTGGATAATCTAAACACTGCTGCCATTTTGTTTGAAACATGATTTAGTTATTTTTAACCTATTCCTCTCCCACCACATGCCAGCATTACCCAGCCAATAGAGCTGACTGTATCTATATCATAGACATTTTTTTAATCAGATAGTTAACATAAGTGACTCATATGTAAGTATTACCTGAAAGCATATACAATGATCACACACAAGTCATAAATATGTCACAGGATACTGATTTTTCAAAGCATCAAGCTATTATATTTTCAATCGACTATAGTTCATTCATTTTGCTAACTTAGGCGATAGATTTAAGTCAATTTACTAAACTGATTTTCTACTTCCAGTAATTATAATAAACAGAAACTAATTTACAGTAGATGTTATGATTTCAAATATGCTAAATATGTAATGTATACTGGGTATAATTAAAGTCAGTATTATTTATAACAAGGTATAGCAAAATTTACACTTTAATGAACATTAAGTCAAACTAGTCTTTCCTACTGAAAAATTATCTAACTTCTGACAGTTAAGGAGTATTTTTTTTCACTCTCAAAATGGTTGTTAGAGGGCAACAGGTGTCCACTGTGGTATGACAAGGGTAACAGGAAACTGGAAAGTTAGAGGAAAAGTAACCCTACTCATACATAGCTAGAGAAGTTTTCAAGGTAGAAATTTGGAATAATTGGGTTGGGGTAGCAGGCAAAAAGAAAAACTGGTAGGGAGATGTTTAGCTTTCAGGGGGGAGTTTTTAAAATTTCTTTGTGGGCCAGTGTCAATAATCTTGTATTATTGTAGAACATCCGTCATCTCTAAATACCTACGAGTGTTTTGGTTAAATCAATTGATATAATCTAACAAGTATCTGCAAAATTATAAAATCTTATGTTAAAAATTTATTCAATAATCTGCATGAACACATAAATAAATTTTAATCAGAACACCCTCCAAAGACCTTATAACCAATTTAAAATCCAAAATTAAAAGGGCTTTTGCTTTATGAAAGCATAACCAAATGAAGACAGATTCAATGGGGTGGAGAAATTATGATACTGCAGTGAGATTAAATGAAATTATGTATATCAAACCAAGAGAGAGAGAAATACCAATTATCTGTGCAATGTTTTATAACTTGCAAAGCACTTTCAAAGCACTTGAACCTATTCAATTCCCACAACATTGTAAGGTAGAATATCATTATCCATACTTTCTACATGGAAATTGAGACAAAGAGGCCATCTAATATGACCAAAATTATGCAGCTCACAAAGCTCAGAACTGCAGCCAACACTTTTTGACTCCTTTACAAACATACCTGAAAAATATCAGAAAAGAATAGAAAGATACATAATGTATGAAATATAGGTAGTATTTGGCTTATCTAACTTGAATATATTTGAGACAAGTAATGGAGCATTAGAACATGCTATGTTACTAGTGTTTGGTTCGAATTTTTGTATGTATTTTCTCATGGATATATTGTTCTATTTGGTGGGTGGATTTTACAGTACTATTAAGAAAGAACTGTACCTCAAGTATATTTTCAGGTGTTAAATGGACTTTTTATGGATCTAATGAGAATCTAATCATAACCTTATTACCATTCTAAAATATATTCTAAATTCTAAAAGAAGTTACAAATGAAATTTTTACAAAAATCTATTTTTAGATAAGAAGTCTATATCCTAAGAGAGATTTTCTTTCTTTCTTTCTTTCTTTCTTTCTTTCTTTCTTTCTTTCTTTCTTTCTTTCTT